AGAGAATTTTAACATTTTTATTGTTGGTATGTGGTGCTGCTGGTATGTGGTGCTGCTGAGGATCGAACCCGGGCCGCACGCATGCCAGGCGAGCGCGCTACCGCTTGAGCCACATCCCCAGCCCCCCACTTAAGACTTATTCACTTCACTTGCATTCTATTTCAATTTCATATTTTTCTTTGCTTTACARTAGTTGTAGCAAGATTCTAAAGTGCCTTTGAGACAGTGCCTTAGGAAATCAAGGGTCATGAGGGCTGAACTCCCTCAAATTGAATCAGATCAGACTCTGTTRCAAAGCCTCAGGGAACTGCTGAGTCACATGGAGCCCTCAGCCTCAATTTCTTTTATATTTTCAATGAAGTTAAATATTACCTCTACCCAACTCCTGTATTTTTCCCCAAAGAGAAAATTTAGCRATGTTGATTCTGTTGTTTTGCTTAGTGTGCCAACAGAAATAAACTAATAAGAACCACAATACCTAGATGTAAAAGATACCTGATGAAAGCAAAGGCTGAACAAATACAGTGAGGTAATTAATTTTCTTGCCAAGTTCACCAGTCAGACTCCCTGTGGAGTTACTGACATGCTTTTAAATTCCTTGGGGAATTATTTCAGTTTTAAAATCTGGTACAGTTTCTGACCATTAAGCATGAAAGATGTTTTTCAAGTTTCACTTGGAATCTATGCTTTATTAGCAGAAAGAAACATGTCCTATTCCAGTCTCCAGAAAGCAGGACTTAGGTGAGCACTGAATGACATCTGCCTGGCTATCCTATAAAAACCTATATTACAGGGGTGCCTTCCTTTGCCTGACCTAAGGACCAATGTGCAAGGTTATAAATCGTTATTTTGCTGGTGCTAGCTAAAAACTGCAAAATCTCAATACTGGATTTAATAATAAYCACCTGTGAGATTTGGACTATAGCTCCCATGGGAAAAGTGCATGGAATTTTCTGGGAAGACCTTCAGGGAAGGGCTAGCCTGACAGTTCATAGGACGTAGCAATACAAACCTCTTCCACACTAAAGCTTCAATTCTAGTCTAGAAAGGATGAGAAAGATGGGGTCAATCAAGTGCTACCTCCTTCATCTTTCTACTTACACAAAGGAAACCCAGTAGACATGAATGAACCCCCAAATAYACCACTGTGGTTCTCTCTAATGTCATGTGGTCTGTGCAAGTAGTTAGAAAACATCCATTTCTTCTTTTTTTTTTTTTGGTAACCGGGATTGAACTCTTGAGCACTCGACCACTGAGTCACATCTCCAGCCCTGTTTTGTACTTTATTTAGAAGCAGGGTCTCACCGAGTTGYTTAGTGCCTCGATATTGCTGAGGCTGGCTTTGAATACTCGATCCTCCTGCCTCAGCTTCCCAAGCTGCTGGGATTACAGGTGCATGCCAAGGACTAGTACTTTGATTCACACTCTTCACAATCCCATCAAAACCCCACCTTGGCAATTTTCTTCARTTATGACCTTTGTCATCTCTATCTTCTTTCAGAGGTTCTTGAGATCTATATCCCCTAAAGTTTTAGGCAATATTGTATATTTATAGATGTACTTTGACAGGAGGGTTCACAGATTTTATCAGGTTCTTAATGATCCAGGACCCTAAGAAGATAGGACCCACTGGTTTATAGCATTTTAGAATTCTTAGCTTAAGTGTTTACCTTGACAAACTAAAAATGATCACTCCTCCATCAACCAGTTATGCTTCAAAATTTCAAAGTGTTTGGGATTAGTAAGTCACTTAGAAGATCCACCCACCACTTTTCCCTATATTAACCTAGAGACTACCATGGGACTCTAGGTGGACCTGAACTAACTCCTGGAGGATGAGACCTCAACTATCCCAATTGCCTGAGTTGAGGTTCCAGATGTAACATCCTGACCCAGTCAAGTTGACCCAGACCTAAAAAAATCACATAGCTAACTCATGAAATTATGAAGAATGATAAATGATTTTTAAAAGTCATTACGTCTGGGGTTATCTGTTATACAGAGAAAACAAATAGTAAGTATTAAGTGGCAAAGAGAAAATCCAAGGGCAAAAAACCCAAAAAAACAAAAACAAAAAAACAAACAACTATGAGATTCTAATATTTGGTATAATGACCCTTGTACCCTTTGACTTGCCCATCTTTCCCAGTTCCAATGGAAAATTTCTTCCTTCTTTTTTTTTCCCCAGTTGTTGATGGATCTTTATTTCATTTGTTTGTTTGTATGTGATATTGAGACTCAAATCCAGTGCCTTACACATGCTAGGCAAGCGCTCTACCACTGAGCTACTACCCCAGCCTTCCAACGGAAATTTCTATGTGAGATTCCATGATGGAGGCCACAAAAGTTAAACCTCAAGAAATATTCTGCTTGAGGTCTCTCTGTCCTTTCAAAAGCTTCTTTAATAGATGAACTTGAAAAACTTCACTGTTTATGAATGTTACTTACTTTTAGTAGTTCATACATATAAAACCGGATATCAAAGTCTGTCAGGATCTGGTAGAGTTGCTGAAACAGATTTCAGAAAACAAAGTTAGTTTAGTCTCATTGGGACTTGTCATCCCAAGTGTCAGTCATTCTTTGCAAACTTAGTGCTTAAGATACTAAGGAACCCCACAGACATTTTACTACCCGATTTGGAATAAATGGTAAAGATGAGGAATGACATTAGAAATATTTCAATCTTCAAAAGAGACCAGAAAAACAAAACAAAACAAAACAAAAAAACGAAAAAGAAATTTCACGGGAGGAAAACAGTTAAGCCAACTTGGATTTTTGGTTATTTTATGCTCTGTGATTTTAATAAGCACAGTTACTTTATTGTGAAGTCTACATTGTCCAATTGTCCTTATATTCTTTTTTTTTTTAGTTGTAGTTGGACACAATACCTTTATTTTATTTATTTATATGTGGGGCTGAGGATTGAACCCAGGGCCTCRTATGTGCTAGATGAGCACTCTATCGCTAAGCCACAACCCCAGCCTATGTCCTCGTATTCTTATTGCAATTAATCAAACCAACCGCCCTGCAGCACCACAGTGTACTCTGAAGAACTGAGTTCTGAAGAACTTCATCAGCTGATGAAGTTTGTGGCATAAAAGTTGTTAATATTAAACTGTTTGTGAAAGAAACTTGAGGACAATGAGTTGCTCTTCCATTCAGAGATGGCAAAAGATTACAAACATCCATTCCTGCCCCCCAAATCAATTCCAGGCTGGAAAAGAATGTTTCACAAGCAAAAACTGATGTCTTGTGGGTAAGAAAAAAGGAGTGGAGTGAGGCATTAAAAAGAAAAAGATGGAGTGCCAAAAATTATCACAGGCCAAACGACAAACAGATGAAAACTTTTATTACTGATAATCCAAAGACCCACCCATTGAAGTTCTAAAAACATTTCTCTTCTAAGAGAGTACAAGATTCATTAAAAGCATCATAGATTCTTGTCAAAAACTATACTATTACCTTTGATATCTAATCAATTCCAAATAAATCTCTTTTCCCATCAATCTAGGCAGCAATTTGCATAAAAATTAACCAAATGCCTTTAGGAAGCTTCTCTTGTTCCTCTACTAGAAGAAAGACTCAAGCAGTGTAGGGAATCTCTCCAAGGAACACAGAACAACATACACAATGTATCTATGTAAAGGGAAAGATAAGACCATATATCTGTAGAATGATACAGGAGTTATTTCATGAGTATGTATAGGGGAGAATAGGCCACAATTCCACTTTTATTCCCCTTTTAGGTAAGGGTAACTCTCCCAGCTTAGTGAGAATATATGACTTCATCAACCTCAGACAGCTGCTAGCTCAGGGCATGGCAGGGAATTAAAAGGCATAGACCAGTACATTGGCAGTGTCCTGAAGCTGCTCCAGAGCTGATGGCCGACCCTGGTTGGGGCTGAACTGCACTGGAGCTAAATGACACAAATAAGCCACTATTTTTACTCAGGAGAGCTTCAGCTCCATAACAACCATATCTCAGGTTTTTTGTTCTTGCTGCTCTGTTCTGCAAGGGAGGCTTCTTAGCTAGCACTCGGCCACAACCGACAGCTGGAATGTGCAGGCGCAGGCTTAAGATACCATCTTGGGTGTTAAGGAAGATCACTCAGAGAGACTGTTCTAAACTGAACATCAAGTCAATAAATAGCCTGTGAAAGAGAAAAGATCAAATTCTCTAAGCCTTGAAGAACTAGAATATTTTACTTCCAGAAAACCAATATGAACTATTTTGTTTGGACTTCCTCTCATATTATGTGGTATGTATACCAAGCATCTGTGTAATTGGCATAAAGCATAAAAACTAATGTCCTTGGACTACTGACATATCTCTAGTTATTCTAGTCAGTATCAATTTTACTCAATACAAAAGATATCAGCTATGCAACAGTGCTTAGACCTACTATATCACAAAGTACTGGACAACTGTACKTCATCCTTCCTTCTCAGGAGCTCTAGGAGGAAGGACACAGAACATTATCTGTAACTTTTAACTTCCTGGGTCTAAAATTTGGGCCTCTCCAGGGTCCACTCTTGCTTCCTCTAACTTTTGTAGCTCTGATCTCCATTCCATCTCCCAGGAGTCCCCGTCTTTGACCACACAACCTGAGCTGGCTACCTCTACTCTTCCCTCTCCCTGCTCTTAACATGCAACATCAAACCCATTCCATCCGATTTTTACAGAATGACAGTGGTCTCACCCTTCTCTGAACTCCCAGGCCATTTGTTCTCAATCTGTGGTGATCAAAGGAAACTAACATAACTAGTGTCCCCAGGGTTAACATTCTTCACTTGGGTGACCAAGAAATGGCAGTAACCCAAAGTTCTCAAGGTAAATTTTCACTGTTGTAAACATGAGCCTGCTTCACTTCAAGAGCCTCATGCCAGCACTCCCTGGGTACCATGCCACACACACATGATGAGGGGAGATGGGTACTGCAGCAGCTGATGGTCACAAGTTTGGTGATTCAAGACCTCTGAACTCTCCCTACCCTCCCAGTATGTTGAGGGTCCACTCCATATCTGGGTACCACACACATTTTCTCCACACTCCTCAACCGTCTTCTAATCCTCATATAGAATAGCATATACTTTATCTACTCCACACTAAGTATGGTGGTTCTCTGCACATGTTTTTATAATGATCACTAATCAATGGAACAAAACAGAAGCTCTTTTTCAAGAAATAGAAGAGGTTGGAGATACAGCTCAGTTGGTAGAGCTCTTGCCTCACATGCATAAGGCCCTGGGTTCAAACCCTAACACACACACACACACACACACACACACACACACACACAAAAAAAAAAAAAAAAAAAAAAAAAAAAAAAAAAAAAAAAAAAAAAAAAAAAGAAAAAACCTAGAAGAGTCCATAACAAATTCAAAAGGGAAACTCCAAAAGAACCATACTTTCTCTCTAGCTATGTGTAGAATATTATTAAACAACAAACTGTAAATATTGGCAGGAATATAGCTTTGCTCACATAATCATAGAAAGACTTATCAGAAACAAAACACTGGGGTTGTGGCTCAGTGGTAGAGTGCTTTCCTATCGAGTGTGAGGCCCTGTGTTCAATCCTCAGCACCACATAAACCCCCCCCCCCAAAAAAAAAACCAGCCAATGCTTCCAGAAAGATTATGACGGTACCAATGAAGAAACTATTCACTGGTCCTGGTTTGGCTGCAAATTCTCAAATACACTGATATTTCTCTAGAAATCAGTTCCACTACAGGACTGCTCTAAAGGGCTCAAGGTGGCTGGGTGTGGTGGTGTATACCTGTAATCCTAGCAACTCAGGAGGCCAAAGCAAGAAGATTCCAAATTTAAGGCCAGCCTCAGCAACTTAGCAAGACCCTGTCTCAAAACAAAAAATAAAAAGGGCTGGGGATATAGCTCAGTGGTAGAGTGCCTCTGGGTTCAATCCCCAATACCACCACACAAAGGAGGGAGAGGGGGCAGATAGGAAGAAAATGGCAGATGCTGCAACTTGATCATATCATCTGGCTCAGGGCCTCCTGGGTCTCAAGCCACAGACACCATAGGATGGCCACCAGTGGATCTCTCTCATTCCTGCTGCAKGTACAGGCAGCTCTTCAGATGCAGCTGTGTCTTAAGGAGATCAAGGCCCATGCCCAACTGTCATTTGGGAGGCCTTCGTGCTTTATGAACTTTTAGCCAGCAGAGTGTAGGCATTCCCTCACATAGCCCTATGTCCATAATTTCCAGGGCTGGCCACATGGGGGGGGGGGGAGAGATTTAAAGTGAAAGTGAAAGAGGTGTTTAACATCACAGTTATCAGTTTAGCTGTTGTTAACCTGTAACCTCCAAAATGTAGAATAAAACCAAGGCCAACATTTCTAGAAATTTAGGGAACTAGAACAAATCTGTAATGGAACAAATAAATAAACTGAAAACATCACTTATTTTCTTGAAGTCTTACAAGAAAATGACAAAACAATGTTAATGACCTATGATTACAGTTCATTTCTTCCCGATTTAACATATAAGAGAAAAGCCAAGGCTAACAACTGAACTAACAAGTATGGCATAAAAAATGACCATGCACTAAAGTCACAAAGCAAAGATCATAGATTTCAAATAATCAACAATTATATAGGCTGAAGTTCCCTTAATCTGAAATCCTTGGGACCAGAAATGTTTCAGTTTTCAGATTTTGTAATATTTGTGTAGGTATAAGAAAGCACCTTGGGGATATTCAAATCTAACCATGAAATTCATTCGTATCACATACACCTCACACAGAGACTGTATAAAAATGTAATTTTATACAATACTTTATATAATCTTGTGCATGAAACTCTATTTCATGGTGATTTCAATTTTCCACCTATGGCATCACATAAGTACTTATAAAAGTTCTGAACTGTGGAGTATTTTAGATTAAGGATGTTCACCTGTATAGATCATGTTCTCTAGACACAGTGCCATCAAATTAGGAATCAACAATAAAATAATAATTTTCTAAAAAAAAAAAAAAACAAAACAGTTGGATTCTGCCCTACAAACTCACAAGCATATAGGAAGAAAGGATATTACTGGGATAATTATGGTGAAATTTTGAATATGGATTTTATACTAGATGGCATTATCATAAATATTAAATTTCTTGGGTATATGAATGGCATTGTGGTTATGCAGGAGAATGACCTGATGCCAGTGCTGACATCTTCAGGAGTGGAGGAATATCATGATGATACTTTTTCATCTGAAGCTTCAAGATGAATCAGCAAAAAGACAAAGAGATAGAAAGGGGAGGAAGAAAAATAACTGCAAATATGGCAAAATAAAATTTCTAATGGAAAAAGTCTAGAAGGTAAAATCCAAATCCTCAAGTTTGGAATTTGCATTTATAATTTGAACAACTATCTAGAAATAGAGTTCAACAACCATGGAATACAACTAAAATGGTGCTTGAGGTTATATAAACTTAAGCACATGTATTATGAATCAAGGAAAGTTGAAACAAATCAAATGAGCTGACTCCAACTCAAGTAGTCAGGGAAAAACCAGTGGAGGCCCAAGAAAATTGAAGGAAGAAAAACAATTAAGACAGGAGAAGAAAGAGAATGAAATACAAAAAATAACAAGAATAACAGGTGAACAATAAATCCAAAAGCTGGTTCTTTGAAAGGGTAGGAGATCTAGATCTAGCAGGGTTTACCTAAAAAATTTTTAAAAAGGGAACAAAGGCATGGATAATGTTTAAAATTTAAAGGAAAGCCTAACTACAGATAGAGTTTTTAAGTCTTAAAGAGAATTTTATCAATAACTTCATGACAATAAAGTTTAAAGTGAATAAGTTTAGAAATATTATCCAAACAGACTGTGAAGAGAAAACCTTGAAAGACTTTAACCTATTTTTTTTTTTTTTTTAGTCATAGGTGGGAACAATGTCTTTATATTTATGTGGTGCTGAGGATTGAACCCAGTGCCTCACGCATGCTAGGCGAATGCTCTACCTCTGAGCCACAATCCCAGCCCCCTATAGTATATTTTTAAAAGGAATGTACAGTCCAAAGTTTTCCTCCCACCTCTAACAGACACCTACCTGGATTTACCTCTCTTATATGTACTTTCAGAGATTAAAACAAGAAAATGCCACTCAATTTATAAGTTAGTATAACCATGATACAAAATCAGAGGACTCTAACAATAAAAGGAAATTAATTATTAATTGTGCCAATAAAAAGTACTAAAAAGAATGGGCTGCAGCTGTAGTATCCCRCCCACTACACGCTGGGGACTGAACCCAGGACCTTATATATACATGCTAGGCAAACACTCTACCACTGAGCTGCATCCCCAGCTGCCACCACTGTTGATTTATCCTGTTCTTATGCCAGTGACAAACTCTCTGGGTGACACCTTAAAAGCAATTATCAATATCCTTTATGTTAAAACAAACAACAAAAAAAGTAGAAAMAGACTTTCCTAGTAAGATAGACACATAAGCCTGAAGGACATTAGGACATTAAACCAACAGACTATGCCTATCATACTATCTGGGGAAAAGAAGTAACTCTCCTGCCATTATTTTGCTCTTCCAAAATACACACCTACTACCTGATATTTAATAATCTTGTAAGTGAACTAAAATATCATGACTTGAACATTCAAGGGGACCTCCAGTTAAACATGACAGATCAAACACCTCTGCTTCTTTCTGAAGCTCCTCTAAAATAACAATCTAAGGAGCGGGGGAATAACAGTAAAAGGAGAGAGAATTCTCAAGAACTCAGGGAGGAAGAGACAACACTCCAAAGCTAGAAATGTCCAGCTAATTCTACAGACCAAAAAAAAAGGTAAAAATTCTGCCAATAGTGAATTAGGCCCAGAATATAAAACTACAAACTGAAGAACTACAGAAAGGCTCAGGATGAAAGAGAGTAAACAGAGTGAGTTGAAAACAGAAAACGGGTTTAAAGACCACACTGGAAACGAGGAATTAAGTGTAAGACTCTTAACACCCCCCACAGCTCTCATCAACTTGAGACTAAAATGCCAGCAGATACAGGGCTAAGCTGTGTCCTTGAGATAGAAGCGACTGCTTTTCAGAGCATTACTCCAAAATATGAACCATAATATTTCAAACAATTATCATAGAGACAAATAATAATCACAAAGCAATTGGAAGAAAAATAGAGAAAAGGTATGAATAAAGCTATTACATAAAACATAAAAGAARTGGACTTCTAAGATATGAAGTCTAACATTTGAATGAGTTTTAGAAAGTGAGAACAAAGAAGAAAGGGGAGAAAAATCAAAGAACATTAAAAATATTTTCCCAGAATGAAGAACATGAATTTTTAGAAAAAACCCAGCAAGCATCCAGAACAAAAGATAAAAGGAACCCACAGGAAGGCACATCATTGTGAAATTTCAGAAGACTGGGAATGAAGAGAAAATCCTAAAATCTTCAAGGGAAAAAAAAAAATCATGTCAGATACAACTGGAATGGCTTTACTGGTAATACTGGAACAATCTTTTCAAAACGGAGGAAATTCTGAATTTCAATCTAGAATTCTTTAYAAATCAAAAGGATAAATTACAGATATATTCAGAGATGTATGCATCAAAAAACACTGATCCCAATGACCTTTTAAAGAAGGAGAATGTGTGTCTTCTTCAAAACACCCCAGGCTTCAAGTCCCACCCAGAGTAATACAATTCCCCAGGGAATGAGAATTCCTGCTAACTSATCTCCATGTTTTTAACATCAACCAGGAAGACAGATGTCACTTTTAAGAAACACAAAATGCTGCTGTGAAATTTTACACATGTGACCAGACAGCTGGTAAAAACTCATTAATAAAGCACAGGTATTTTAATTGAAGGGATCTACACTATGATGCTGCATTGTGAGCAGTTTTTAAATTTCAGCATTAGGAAAATGGTTTTATCAAAGTCTGTCTGGCACTCTAGGACAGGAATACACATTCCCACTCATGTACATCTTGACAGACCTGGGTGATTCACAGGATTGGCTACATGGCACAGTACTCTACCAGCTAAATCCTCTGCTACGGGATGGAAGAGATTCACAATCCCTCCCTGGCCTTTTTTTTTTTTTTTTTTTTGGTGACAGGGTCTCACTATGTTGTCCAGTTGGCCTCAAACTAGGGATTCTTCTTCTAAGTCTCCTGAGTAGCTGGGAATACAGGTGTGGTGCATTACAATACCCAGCTTACATCCCACTTTTTAGAGTTCATTGAAGATTTTATCTGTAGTGACTCACATTAACAGGAATATCAGTTACCCATGGAAAATGCTATGTGGTATATAAAACTTGCTACTTATTACTTTAAAACTGAAAATTTTTCTTCTTTCTTTTGCTTATTTTCCACTAACTTTACTTTAGAATAATTACCTAAGAAAAATTAAACGGAGGATTAAGTTCCTTATATTTTCACTCAAAGCACCACTCCCAATAGTAGGACCTTTACTGGTGGATTTGGTTGTCTTCAGCTTCTATAGCAAAAAAATCATGTCTCTGATTCAGTGCCAGAGTTATGATCACCTAAAGTCCTTTATATCCTGCTGAAAATCAACACCAATATTTTGTTATTTATATTTTCAAATTATGCACTAAAAATGGGTTTCTACCAGTATGTCTAACCCCAAAGTCTTATCAGAAGTTAAAAGTTTGTTTTGGGGGCTGGGGATATAGCTCAGTTGGTCCAGTGCTTGCCTCAAATGCATAAGGACCTGGGTTCAATCCCTAGCATCTATCTCACACACACTCTCTCTCTCTCACACACACACCAAAAAAAAATTTGTTTTTGAACAATAATAAGAAGAAATTCATCAAAAAAGTTCAAAACCATGCTCTTAAAAGAACATTTCAAAATCTAAATCAATACACATTATAAGAAAATATAAATATCCCATGACAGGGCTCCTCTAAAGCAGTGACTCCTAATAACTAGGTTTCAGTACGATTTGCTTGCTTGGTGTATATGAACACACAGTCATCATTTCACATCTCCAATTCAATATACCGCCTTTCCCCCCAAGGGCCCTAAATCACTTTATCCCTCCCATCAGCAATGTAAGATTTCTTAGGAAAATCAAAGTTAACATCCACATAAAACTATTGTCTAAAACAGGAAGCATTAGGTTAGACCCAGATGGGCAGTTACTCTCAGAGTAAGCCAGACAAAGGGTGATAATTTCACCAAATGCAAGAATCCAATACTTTCTGCACCCTGTATTCCTGTGTAAAGAATCCAATCTGTTATTCCTACTCTCACAAGGACATCCCTGGCACCTCTGTGTCCTAGAGTTCCAGCTATACTCATCACCAGCTCTCTACCCTCCCACAACCCTATATCAGGAAGAAAATGTACACGTACCTTAAAATCTGTATTATTGATATATTCAAATACCAAAGCTGGTGTCTTTGACTGTAAGAGAAAAYATTAAGGCTTTTTAGGTATTCAGACAGTAATGAATGTAATTTGTTTTTGCCATACTGGTCCATTTCTAAATTTCATTTAAGATGAAAAGGGACTCAATCATTAAGGATGGTCTGTTAAAAAATATTTTCTTAAATTTTTATGATGTCTGAAATTTGCTTCAAAATAAAGCTATGGTGGGATGGGGGAAGTGAGTACAGATGAAACAAGGTTGGCGATATGTGCAGGAGGGTCATGTTATTCACTTTACTTCTGTAAATGAAAATTTTACTTAATAAAAAGTTGTTTTTTTTTTTTTAAAGGAAGGTATTTTTTGAGCAACCCACACTGACCTTCACCAATCTGTCAATGATTTTATGAAGATTTCCACTCTGCAATATTTCAATTTGCCAATTACAAAAGGAGTGACACATGTCATCTAGGTTTAGCAAGCAAGATGCACTTGACAGAATTTTCATAGGTCTTGGGAATCTATTACAAATCTTTTCAAGGCCCCCAAAAGGAAATGTAACTATCTGTGAAACTATCAATAAGTTACCTCGTGAGATTACTGCCCCAGTTAGAATATCTCACTTTAGAAGACAATGTTCCCCCCAAAATCATACTTAATCAAATTTTTAAAAGCACCATAGTCTTTAAAGCAATAAGTATAAAATGTTTAATACTTCCTATGGAAGTAYAGATTTTCAAAATGTCAGAAGTAAAATAATGCTAATTGGCAGTAATAAGGTTTCAAAATCGGGAGAAAAGCAGAGGCTTGGGTTATAGAAACAACACCGACAAAAAGCCATCTTGGAAATCTTCACTGCTGACAACATTTGCTTCAGGACTAGGTGAAAGTTACCTAGGAAATAGGGCACAGTGCATGCATGCAGGTCTTTGCCAGGACAATGCACAGCTCAAGCAGCAGCTTCAAACAAATGATTTTTCACCTGTCCCAAATTTTAAAGGTTTCATCAAGACCATCAGAATGCTCTATGGACTCARGAATAAGTTTGATCCTCTCAAACTTAGGAGATGAGGATTCCCTGATGCTTTTCATCTACTCCAATTTGTTCTATGAAGTAGTAAAACAAACACTTTAACAAATTACAAATATACTAAGTAATACTGAATTCTGTTAATTTTTTTTTTAAAATGAAGATGCTCCTGGTGAGCTGGGTGCAATGGCACATGCCTACAATCCTAGCAGCTGGGGAGGCTAAGGCAGAAGGATCACAGGTTCAAAGCCAGCCTCAGCAATTCAGCGAGGCAAGGGTAGGGATGTGGCTCAGTAGTTAAGCACCCCTAGGTTCAATACTTGGTGCCAAAAAAAAAAAAAAAAAAAAAGATACTCCTGGTATACTATGTTATGGCACTGGCTCACATTTTAAAAATTCTTCTGAAAACACATATTTTCATGTATGTATTCTTTTTTAAAAAATATCTTAAAAATGGGCAACACTCATTTTTAATGTAGGCCATTTTCAAACATTAGACAGCCCTGGGCTAGTCTTATTAAATCAGTCTGAACTTAGCAGGCTGGCTGTATATGTACAAATATATATATATATATTTTTTGGTGATACTAGGGATCAAGTCCAGGGTCTCACACACACTAGCCAAGTGTTCAACTACTGAGCTACATCCCCAGTCCTTTAAAAAAAAAAAAAAAATCTTTTTTTTTTTTTTTTTTTTTTTTAGACCAGGTGTAAGTTGCCTGGGCAGGCCTCAAATCTGTGACTCTTCTGCTTCAGCCTTCCAAGTCACTGGGATTACAGACGTGCAACACCATGCAGGATGGACTATATTTTGAATGACAATCAGATACATTTTGGCATACAACCATCCCTTTCTGGTCTTTCCAGGGTCCACAGGAAAAAACCCTTTCTTTCTTTTTTTTTTTTTTAAGAGGAGTTATTTTATTTTTTAGCTTTAGGTGGACACAATATCTTTATTTTATTTTTATGTGGTACTGAGGATCAAACCCAGTGCCTCACGCATGCCAGGCGAGCATGCTACTACTTGAGCCACAACCCCAGCCCGGRAAAAAACCTTTTCTTACCCAACAATACTGTGTAACCTTGGGCAAATTACTCCTGCAGACTTTTGTTTTTATCACTACAATGTGGACAATGACAGCAGATACCCCTCTGGATTGTTTGAGGCTTTTTAAAATGATGCAATATAGATTTCTCTGAAAAGTGCCTGGCCTGCAATAAGCACTCAATACATATTAGCTACTACACCACATGCGCTATAGCAGACAGAAACAAAGACCTACTTCTTAAATAAACAGAAAACAGTCATGGAAATATTTGAGGTACAGAAGGCAGAGTTCAGAAATGGGATAAAAGTGGTATAAAAGTATATGTGTATATATAAGTGTGTGGGTGTCCTAACTTAAGGCTAAGTTACTCCCCAGGGAGAGAAAACAAAATTAAACAGCACATCTAAAATGGCTAAAAATTAAGCATTTTCACAAAACTATTTTGATTGGTAAAACTTTTAGTAGCATCTACTCTGAAATTAAAGACTAGTTATGAGATACAGCAGGCTTCTTGACCTCAAGGGGTTAGTGGGCTGTGATTTGCTCAGCTCTACATGCCAGGTGTCCACACAGAGATACTCCAGTATTTCCTTGKGTAAATACAGGTTTTCAAATGTCAAGCTTACTAAGAGAGGTAAGGTAATGCAAACTGGCAGTAATAAGCTTTCAAAAAAAGGACAAAAGCAGAGGCTCACGGGAGCTACACAGCAAACATTTGTGGGCTAAATCAAAATAATGATAACACAGGCAAGGGTTTTTCTGAATATCCTTTTATATTCTTATAAAAATAGTGGTGGCTACCTTATCACTGGGCCATCTCGATTTTTGTCTGGTGTTCAAAACTATTCACCAGTAAACACACTGTGCACCTTGAGGCTCTGTATATTCAACAATCACCCCCCGCCTCCGGTCCGTTAGCACACTTCTCAGCCATCAGCCACTTACCACAGGATCCTTTACAGTATCAATCAGCTTAATGATATTTGTTCCACCACGAAGGTTCTCCAAAATCTTAACCTCACGTTTTATCTTCTTTTTCTTCACTGGCTTAAATACACAAGAGTAATCAGAAGTAAGACTCCTTTTGAAGTTAATATAATAAATACAACCTGAAAACAATGTAAGCCAATCACATGGTTCATATGTTACCTTATGGACTGGGATGTATTAAAAGAGCATGCCTGAATCAGAAGAGAAAAACTGAGACAAAATGGGCTTGCCCACAAGAACTTTTAAAGTTAAGTTAAATCATTTACAGACTTGTAAAATCTATGTGTCAAGATGTTTAAGTAGTTATATCTAAGGCACTTAAAATTTTTGAACACCCATGTCACACTTCAAAAAATAAAATGTTTACTAGATAACTGCCAAATGGAAAGTATTCAAGCTCTGAACAGTTGCATATCAARGATGTACAAATGGAAAAACTGAAACAAAATGGGGTGCTCTTCCAATGAGTTACATGTAATTTTGACTTCCAGGAATGAAGACCAGTTCACTGACATCAAGTTACAAACTTGTTTCCCAGCTGCTGGCTCCCATTTCCTGTTGCCACTCCCATTTCCTTAATATCTAGAATCTGAAATCAGCACAGAGCCCGTAAAATTTCCCAACAGATTCTATTCCTAAAGAAAGATGTTGGATCAGCAAAGGAGAAAACTGATTGGATAAATAGTGATTGAAAACCTCTGCTATCTGCTAAGCTATCAAACAGCTAGATAGAAAAATCAAAGACATTAATTAGAAATACTCTCATTACACATACCATTTCCTGTCTTACATGGGCCAAAGAATTTGAAGACTAAAAGCAGCTCTGAAAACATAAGGGTATCTCAATCAAGTAAGCTTTACAAGGCACTTAGAACAGTGATTGGCATATAGTAAGCACTGTTACCACCATTATTTTCAAATTATTAGGCAGTAGTAAGTATAATCCTCATAAAACCTCTATGCAGTAGAGTCAGCAGAGTGGAGGTCACAGCTAACAGTAGAGGGGGGTCAGGAATCAAATCTGGGGGTCTGATTCTGTATGCCACAGTATTCCATGCTGTGTTTTTGTTCTCCAGTGTGGCTGAGGGGAAAAAAAAACCTAAGGGGAAAAGGAGTTTTGTATTGTTGAAACACTGTTACAATAGCATAGGTAACTAGGCCAGTGGGGTCTGGTATGAAATGTTAAAACAAGAACTCAAAAGCCTGTTGCAGGGGTTCAGGGAACACAACCATATACCAGAGATCATCATTTTTTTTTTTTTTTAACCAGACTTGAACCCAGGGGTGTTAGTTCATTGAGCCATATCCCCAGTCCTTTTTAAAGTTTTTTATTTTAAGACAGGACCTTGCTATGTTGCTGAGAAGACCATTACCTTTTGTTGGTCCCTGACACACAGCTCTCAACAATTAAAAGAGGAAAGGAGAAGACTGTGAAACAGAGCACCTGCACTCTAGCTGCATCCTTGCAAGTCAGCTGTGAAAGACAATGTCACTGTCTACTTTGACAGGGTTCCCAGTACAGCAGGTCTGGCTGCTGTGTCCCTGGCCCCATCTCCACTTAGGAACTTTACTCCTTAGTCTCCTTTTCATAATTATGAACTTCATTGTTTTCAGAAAATGAAGTACTACACAATTTGATTTAAAACAAAAACAAAGCCAGCCAGGGAAGGACATATTACATAACAACTAACCTATAAGCTTCAAAAATGCCAATGTCATGATATGGACTGAGCAACAGCTTCCAGATATGAAAGATATGACAACTGAATGTAACACATGATCTGAGATTTTCTTTGTTATAAAGAACATTATAGACACAACTGCAAATGTGAACGAAGGCTATAGATTAGCTATAAGCACTGAATTAATGTTAACTTCTGATTTCTGAGCATGGAAACATGGGTAAGAAATTGTCTTTGTCTTTAAGGAAACACATGCCGAAGTAGTTAGGATGGCTATAATTTACTCTCAAGCACTTCAGAAAAACTAAATATGTGTCTGTATGTACATACACATGCAAATACATGGTGTTTATATGAAAACAAAGAAGGATAAAGCATTAACATTTGAGGAACTAAGTGAAAGGTATATGGAAATACTTGCAACTTTTCTAAAAGTCTAAAATTATGTCACGAAATTAAAGGAAAAATAAAGGTTGGCTATCATGTATGTATAAAATCAGTCAATGCTACCATTGTATTAAATAACTTTCAATGTGAGAAAATTCTAGAGTTGTCATCCACAACTCTAGGGGGGAAAAAGACCCACAGCCAGAAGCCTGTTTACAATAAGCAACCTCTTCTTCTACTAAGAGCATCCTTAACTCCTTACAGGGTAATTCACTAAATAAGTTATCTTTATGATGCTGCCCACATAAAGCCCTCCACTCTCTCCTGTTACTCAGCAACAGGTCAGGCAGGTGCACAGTTCCTGGACAACCAGGTTAAGATCAAGCTATCCTTCAACATATCTAAAGGCAACTCAGAGCAACTGAAGCATATTTTGTTGCCAAATGTCCCTTGTCCAAAAACTATCCAAATTAGAGATTGAGAATAGCAGGGCAATTCTAAAGTGGCATAATTGAGTACAGCAGTTAAGAGTCCTCAAATGCTGACAAAAGATCAAAGAGTTACAAAAAGGAAAGTGACCTGCAGCCCAGGACATTCCCTCCAACCCATCAAGAACAAGCTCCAGACAGCTCTCTTTAGCCTCAGTTTATTTCCAAACCTGAGAAAGTCAGATGGAGTGAAAGAGACCATTTTAATTCTACAAATGGAATCACAGAGAAAAAGTCAGAATTTATGAGAGGGTCATTAACATCTCCCCAAAAAGATAAATTTAAGCTTCACAGAAATAAAGATGCTTTGACTCTCCTATCTAGAGTTCACACCCATTCGCTACCAGTTACACAAAATGCAGAAACCACATGATTTCCACAAAGATCTCATGATTTCATCTTGTATGCTACACAAAAAGTCTCTCATTTAGGGTTCATTTACTTCAGTTCAGAGAATACCTGTTGAAAATATTCAAACTGAATTAGCTTAGCTATTTTCCAAATCCCTCTATTTTTTTTTTTTTATTAAACCCAAAATCCAGATGGATGTACTGGCGCATGCCTATAATCCCATGCACAGAAAATGCTAAGGCAGGAGGATCAAGTTCAAAGCCAGCCTCAACTTAGCAAGGCCCTGTCTCAAAACAAACAAACAAACAAATAAATAAGGGCTAGAGATGTGGTTCAGTGGTTAAGCATTCCTGGGTTCAATCCCTGGTACTATAAAATAAACAAACAAACAAAACCACCCCACCCCCCGAAAAAAAAATCTCGAAGTCCATTAAAGCAGCAAAAAGTTAAAAAGAGAAGGGCTGGGGCTATGGCTCAGTGGTAGAGYGCTTGCCTCGCACATGTGAGGCACTGGGTTCAAWCCTCAGCACCACATAAAAATAAATAAAAATATTTTTTAAAAGTTAAAAAAGAAATTAAAGTAGCAAATCAAGTTTTCAGAAATAAATAAATTTTGGCATTTATAGGAAATTTAAAGGGAAAGAAACATTTAAAATTTTCTGTGCATGCGCTCTGAAAATGAAAAAAGGAGGGAAGGAAGAAGAGGAAAAAGAGAAAGGAAAGAAGGAAGGAGTCTTCCAGAAGGTTTCTACCAATGTGATGATCAGCTCTTGCTATTTGGGAGAACTTTTTCCTTTCTGATATCCAAAAACGTTGAAACAAAATATAAATTTAGTGCCAGTCTGCTTAGAAAGATAAGAGTTGGCAAAATCCATAATCTGCCCCGTTTATTTACCTAGTTCTTTTTTCCCTTTTCTTCTTCTTCTTCTTCTTCTTTTTTTTTTTTTTTTGGTACAAGAGAGTGAACATTTAACCAATGAGCCACATCCTCAGCCTTTTTTAAAATTTTGAGACAAGTTCTCACTAAGTTGCTAGGGCCTTGTTAAGTTGCTGAGGCTGACTCTGAACTTGTGATCCTCTGCTGCAGCTTCCTGAGTAGCTGGGATTACAGGCATGCACCACTGCTCCTGGCTCTTTTTCTTTCTTTTTTTTTTTTTTTTTTTTTTTGCACTTAACCACTGAGTCACACCCCCAGCTCTTTTTCATATTTTATTTTGAGACAGGGTTTAAGTTGCTGAGGCTGGTTCGGAACTTGTAATCCTCTTGCCTCAGTCTCTTGAGGAGTTGCTGGAATCATAGGCATGCGCCACCACAACGGGCTTTTCTTTTTCTCTTAAAAGGCAAATTTGAGAAAGATTTCAATTACTAGCATTTAATTACAAATTAACTTGCAAACTTACAATTGAAAGGTATAAGAATTGTGACCTCAATAAATTCCAAATATTAACAGGCAAAATCCCACTTAAACTTATTTCTTGGATTGATAAATTCAAGACAGGAAAAATAACCTATAACTTCCAAAACTGGGTTACTTATTCTAGATCAAACCAAAGAAGACCCTACTAGATATTAAGTTTATCACCTGCATCAAACAATTACCATTGATAATGGTTGCTAAGAATGAAGAAGGATGAAGTAAGGAACAAAGTTCAGCCTGGATGATGGCACTTGTTTTATTATCTTGGTAGCATCTCTGAAACCCACTGCACTTGACCTAAATATAAATATCATTCGAGCAATAGTATTTATTCACAGCAATTTCTTCACTATTTTTTCAAGTGTCATCATCATCATTACATTATCAATTGCTTGAGGGTTACTATTTATTTTTAGGATTAAAAAATATTTCTTGTTAATTTAAAAAGGAAAGGCATAAAATCAAAATGACAATGAGATACCATCTCACACCATTAGGATGGCTATTATGAAAACCAGAAAGTAACAAGTGTTGGTRAGCCTGTGGAGAAGAGGAGCCTCTGTACACTGCTATTGGGAAGGAATAGCCACCGCRGAAAATTCCTCAAAAAATTAAAAATAGAATTACCTTCTGATCCAGCAATTCCAAAAGCGGTACTCATACACCCATGTTCAAAGCAGTGTTATTCAAAATAGCTAAAATGTGGAAGTAGCCCAAGTGCCTGTTGACKGT